TAACTGTTCGCGCTCAGCAATACGACTATGCTACTACCAATACCCGCTCCATCAGTGCACAAAGTTATGTTGAGAACTTGTTCTTATGATGGTTTCAAGTTTCAAGGTCAATGATGCAAGAATAGAGGAAAATAATACTGCATTCCATATTTTTCATAATGGAAACGATTTCATAAGTTACAAAATATATAATCGAGTTTAAACCAAACTATCAAACAAAAAATGATATTCATTTTAGTATTCTTCTTCATTTCCTGATTCTGGCCCAACTGGATCCCTGAATATATTTTGGCAGTCTCATTTACATTCACTAGAACATTTCAACCCTTCTTTCATGCATATACACTTATTATTTGTGCAGATTTTATCGGCACAAGGAATGGCCAGGATTTTTCATACAGAATTTGGAATAGGTTCCTGCTTACTAAAAACAGGGTTCCAACAATCGTTTTCGTGTTTCCAACAAAAATTTTCCGGATTTTCAGTAGGGATATATGGTAAAAGGGATGAATACCATATTTTCAATTGATATATACATCTAGAAATAATTGATTGGAAATGTGTTAGGTATCGGAAATTTTGCCATGTGTTTTTTATTATTCCTGCAGCTTCATAAAGAATTTGCATTTCGGATTCTATGTTTGAATCGTTGAAAAATTCGGATTCTTCTTTGGAGCTACTGGATCCTGACGACTTAAATTGTTCTGCGAAATTTTTTTCACTATTTTCTTGAATGTCTTGGTGATATAAATGATGATGTTTTTTCTGTTTCGACAGATTTATAAATGATTTAATATTCCTTGGGGCAATATATTGACTGTAACAAGACTTGTGATACTTTGCATCATGAGCAAATAACCAGAAATTTTCCCAATCATATTTATATCGTTCCGTTTCTTTGCTGAGTCAACTATTTTATCGAAACTTTTCTTTTCAGTTCCTATATAATTCGATAGCATTCATTAAAATCTTTATTTTTTCAGTTTTTTCTAAATAAAAAAGTTCGTCCCCACTCAAAAATGTCGTCCAATGATATTCTGATAGAAAAATATGTACTTCATTATATTTTGAAGGTCGGAACTGGTTATACCTTAAAAAATTTTTTTTCGAGAACGGAGCGACTTTTTCGGTGGATTTTACTCCACTATATAGGAATTTCCTTCTCTGTGCTTCCTCCAAGAGATAAAAAAAAGCGATGAAGCAATTTTTTACTGATTTTGAGACGAAATGAACCGTTCCCAATATACAGGGTGTCAAACTTTTTCTGATGATAGGTTTTACATAAAAACTGGTTATGTCTGAAACAGTCAATGGGCTTATATCACAAAAAAAATGTATTCCATAATTCGATAGAACTCACCCAAACTAGCTCACCACCGCAAACCGTTTCTTGCTGTGAGCTCCCTACGTTTTATAAAAATTTATTGAAATCTCCGATTTTTCGGACCTCTGAAAACGAGGCGATGATGTGACGTCAAAACCCTAATACTGAAACAAGACTATTTCAGACAGAGAAGAATGATACATGATTTCTGACAGAGTGAATTAGCGTCAGATCACAGTTGAAAGAATTAATATATCAGTTGCCTCAGTCTCCGTCGGGCTTTTGGTATTTTCTTTCAACTATGGCGAGATGAGGTGTCTACGTCATAAGAGGGTCCGTTTTCAGAAGGTACTATTATTTATGTCCAAAAATAAAACATTCCAGTTAATTTTTCTATCGAATTATGTCGTCAATCATTATTTATGTATAAAAGGATCATTATAAACATGGTTTGAGTTAAAAGTTCTACTGAGGTGTACACGCCCATTATCAGACTAAAATCGGGGATGATAGAAGATATGCGGCAATATGGAATACTTTATTCTTGACAAAACTACAAGCGTCATTTATATCAATTTGATATAATATTCCATCGACCTCATATAGTTCTTCTACAATAGTAGATTATTTTATAAGGATCAAAAGTGACACTTTGTTCGACAAGCAAGCGTATAGTGAAGCCGAGCGAAAGCGAAATTTACGAGTCGAACAAAGTCACTCTTGATCCAAATGAAACATGGTATTTCTTCTGCAACCGAAAGAATTAACTAAAATGAATATGTGAAGTAACCACCAATGTGACTTTGACTTACTTGACAGATTATCATAGTACCTTTATTATGATAATAATGGTAAGTAGATAGAAGCAATAAGAACTCAGACTACTTTACATTAGAACAATGGTGGACGATGACTTTACTTTGTTACAATTTTTGTACACATGTTTCATCAGATACCCGAAACGTGAATGCCGTGCCATATGTATGCAATGCAACAAATAATCTGTTGGTGAGAATATTCTACCTGCATTTACAGATCAGGTTTAATCAATTTTCGAGAATGTTCGAATCGTAGTTTCAATATAAAAACAACCACAGAGTGACCCATTTGTGTATCCTATTGAATCGATGAATCGATGAATTCATTTGGACCAGGTGTCTGCCCTAATAGCAAATACCGCGCCAGTGTCAGGTATAAAAAAAAGAAGTGGAAATGTTAGGATAGTGAACATATCAACAATATTAATGGCCGAATAATGATTTTTTATTCCTCTCCATATTCCACTGTGTTTGGCTCGGTAATCAAATGAAGGTTAACAATATCGTTGTGTGAGACAAAAAAGTATTGCTGGCATTGATTATTCAAAATCAAGCTATCCAATCAATCAGATGCCGGTTATGAATTGAATAAAAATCAGTTGAGTATGTTAATCTTGAAGGCTTTTCTGATCAAAATAATAATACTTAACTATAATTTGTTGTATTCATATCTCCAGCATGGGTATGAAATGCCAATTCCATGATGACCTAGTACATCCTTTTCAGTTCCCAGGAGCTAAAGTTCAACTTTCTTGCAAAATGATCGGTAATTTTCATGCCGAATAAACCGCCGCTGCTCTATCACGAGTTTTGATAGAGTTGTGTTTGACATATGTCGAACAGAGTGTTGTTCGACATATTGTTCTCGTCTGTCCATTAGCAATCTAACAGTATGAATTTCAAATATTTCATTAAATAAATATGAAAAGCTCAAAGTCATTTCCACACAATGTTCATAAAATGAACAACAATGGTAGATTTCGGCAGAAAAACAACTACTTTCCTGGCTAATGCCACGCAGAACATTGAATCACATCCTCCCGAAATCTATGCATCGACTCGTATGATACTATTTTAGTATATACTATTTTTTACACTAGCGAAAACACAAAAATTTAGAAAGAATGAAAATTTGGTCAATGTGTTCAAACATGTGTTTGAACATCAAAGGGAAAATATATAGTTTCGCAGACGATACTGCGATTCTATATACAGCGCCGACTTGGTCAGATCTGAAATTGAAGACGGAGAGGGATTTGGAGCGAATTATCGATTGGTTCAATCACAAAGTATTAACAGTAAATTTTGTGAAAACAATTTTTTTACCTTTTGCAAGTTATAAATCCTCACTGCCAAACTTCCAGACTCTGGATATCCAAAGCCAGAATGAAATTATCAAAATAAAGAGAGCTAATAGTGTTAAATATCTTGGAGTTACCATAGACCCAAATCTCAAATGGGATAAACATATTAGTAATGTAACTAATACATTGAGAACAATATTGTTCAAATTCAAACAGTTATATAAACTCATAAATAGTAGAAATTTGAGAGTTGTATATTCTGGTCTCGTCGAATCCCGTTTACAGTACGCAATACTTAGCTGGGGCGGCACATATTATACACATATCCAGAAACTAGATATAGGTACTACAGAAGAAAATTCTAAAAGTAATGCTTGAAAAACCAATGACCTACTCCTCAAAATGTACATTCACTGATGCAAAAATAATGAATTTGAGAAAATTACACATGTTCAGTATGATCATTTATTTGTATAAAAACAAATATACATTACAGAGAATCAATCATCCCTATATCTAACTAGAACAAAATCGAAACACTATGTGACAACAAATGCAGCCGAAAAGTCCATAGGTCAGCAAAATTTTCAATACTTTGCTAATAGGATTTTCAACTATTTACCAGAAACTTATAAAATGTATATTCTTGAAATCAATTCAATCGAATATATCAAGAAAAAATTTAAAGTATACTTACTGGAGCTAGACATTGACATTGTAGCTAGAGTATCATAGAAATGTAGGAACGTACATAATATATAATTATGGCTCAGGGCATATGCTAGTAGACCCTTTTTTTTCCATACATCCCATGACAAACTGCTGAGGTTTTATGGGTTTGATTGTTTATTTAATACAATATAGATCAAAATGATCGAAATTACTACTTATACTACTCATATACTTTGTCATTTGTTATTTTTTTCATCTCACTTTTATATTAGGAATTTTTGTATTAATAAACATATATTATTATTATTATGCATTTTGTTGACAACCCAAGGTGACAGCAAATATCAAACTGATATTCACGAAAACAGCTTTGAAAATGTTTAACGGTTATGGAACAAGAAATCGAAAAAAAACCTCAGGAAACAATTGATACTGTTTCTGCAGTGACTGCTCTCAACTTGCTACCAGTGAGATCTATAAATCTGTATGATGCAGCTTATACTCGCTTCAGAGAAGGGTGTTCCGGAAAATGTAAGGTTGGTATAAACTTCCTAGAGAAAAAATATGTCACATTATCTCCCTAGGGAATAATACGAGTCTTCTGCCCCTCTTTTGTTACCAGAGAAGCTAACTTTTACTCCCGCCGGCGTGAAAAAGAGATTTTTACGATATTTAATTGAAACCCTGTATCTTGAAAATTCTGTATTTGCCGATGATCTATGTTCACATAAACATTATTCTGACTCCCAACTTAAACCACCTCTCGGAATTTAACCGCATACTCGAATACCACCCCGTACAACCCCTTCAGAGCACGCGTGCCGCCGCTCTTCCACAACACCGAAAATGCGAGGCTCTCTTGGGGGCGTTCCCACCCCTCAGGGGCAGACCGACGCTGCCTTCACAACCACCCCCTCCCCTCTCTTTCTGGCAGGTGCGTCGGCAGAAATCAGCCCTTCACATTTCCTGCTACCTTCTGCCCGAGCCCCAAGAAAGGGCAGTCGTTTAGCGGCTTCTTCGAAGTCAGTCGAGCGAAGGGCAGATCATGTGTGATTAGTTTTTTGCGTCTGTTGCTTTTCTTTGGCGGCATGAATCAGGATCAGGAAGGGCCTGGCGCTTTCAGCGAATTCGGAAGACTGGTAAGTTTTTCGTGAAACAAAAATTGTGTAGAGATTCATAGGAATTTCGTGCTTGGCCCTCATACACGCATATTCTAAGAACCAATTAGGACTTTTCTTCAATTTCCTGAAATCGACCAATCAACAGTCATTTTCGGTGACAATTCAGTCTATTGAACCGAGGAAATCGTTCTGAATACATTAAAATCTATAGATGGTAGTAAGGGATGTAGCTTTGACAATTTCCAGCTTATTTTGTTAAACAATGTTCTAATTTGCACTCCTCTTACACTGATATACACACACTGGCACAATTAGGTGAACGGGTAAAATTTACACTAAGCTTGACATCAATTTTCTCTTGAACCGATCACTCGATTCAAATTTGTTTTTCACGAATTGTAGCTTCATTCTTCACGAATACATCTGAGAAATAACCACCTCCAAACGATTCGTCTTTATATCATATACAGGGGTGTAAAGAAAGTACGGATTTTTCGGTATTCTTTAAGACATCCTGTGGAGTGAACCACTGATAATTGAAACGATTTTCCAACACCAAATTATAGCCCAATCTATCCCGAATATTTTCGTTTTTTATTCATCTTGATATCCCAATTATTCAAGAAAATATAGAGTTTCAAAGAAGAGGTGGATATTGGTATTAATTTTACCACCTCGAAACTCGAACTGGGGAGAACGTGTCGTTTTTCAACTTATCTGTGAGGATTTTTACTTCAAGATGAGAATTGTTCACAGTTTTACATATCGGTTTACTGTTTAAAGACACATATACGAATACTCTAATATGCAGGGGTGATAAAAGTTGCTCCAATGTTCTTTTGGTGAAATGCTATTTTTGTTAATCAACGTTGGCTATTTTGTTAATGTCATTAATTATTGTCAAAGTCAAGCGATTCACAATTCATGAATTTGATCAATGAGAATTCAACATGAGAGATTCGACTCCTACTGATGTGGCGAGGGCTGTAGCATTAATTGAAAATGACCAGTGGGCCAATGTTCCTTTTACATATGAGAGCCGCATCTGCACCAATTCAATAGATGGCAGAGGTTTAGTCATGGTTAGGTTAGGTTAGTCAAGAAACGACACATTTTCAGATCCAATTTGAGTTCTGAGGTGTAAAATTGATCGATATCCATCTTTCCTTTGGAACTCTTGTATTTTCTTGAATAATTGAGATATCAAGATGAATAAAAAACGAAAATATTTGGAATAGATTGGGCTCCAATTTGGTGTTGAGAAATCGTTTCAATTATCAGTGGTTCAGTCCACAGGATGTCTAAAAAAATACCGAGAAATCCGTACTTTCTTTACACCCCTGTGTATGATGGAAAGACTCGTCGTTTGAAGGTAATTATTTCTCAGATGTATTCGTGAAGAATGAAGCTACATTTCCTGAAGAAAAAAATTTGAATCGAGCGATTGGTTCGAAAGAAAATTGATGTCAAACTTAGTGTAAATTTTGCCCGTTTCCCTAATTGTGCCAGTGTGGTATAATGAATCTGTTTTTGAAGGTGAATTCCCAGAACTCTGGAAAACTGCTCTTCTCTGAAGAATTCTGGGAATAAATGCGATATCTCAAATTATAGGGATATCAGTAAACTTTGTATCATTAGTAAAGTTCTCGAGACCATCTTATATGATCTAATCTTTGACAGTCTCCACACCTAATTCTTGAAGAACAACATGGATTCTTGACCAAAAGATCTATCAAAACCAATCTTATGATGATATTCATCAGATGCATATTTCGTACTCAGACTGACTCTATATAAACAGATTTGACCAAGGCGTTTGACAAGATTGGTCATAATATTCTATTGATGAAGCTTGTTGGCAGTGGTAGGCATGGTGATATATTAAGATGGTTTCCTTCTCATATATTCAATAGATCTCAGATCATTAGTATCAATGGATTTAATGCTAACAAAATTACAGTTACCTCGGCAGTACTTGAAGTGTCTAATCTGGGACCTTTATCATTCATTATTTTTATAAATGACATTGGTAAATGTTTTCATGACTCTCAATTTTTATTGTATACTGATGACCTGAAAGTTTTCACTTGAATTAGGTATGTCATTTCACGACTGTATGGAGCTTCAGAATGATCTAGATAGAATTAACGTTCACTGTAAGGATAATAGATCATTTTTGAATTCTAGGAAATGTTTTAGAATAAGCTTCGCTAGAAATCCGACCCCTATAATATTCGATTACAATTTGGTACTCAATATTTATTAATATTGTATTGTCAACATCATGGTTATATCTGTCAGAGGATGCTTCGGCCTGTTTGCATCCCATTGTTATTAAATAAATGGATAAATAAATGGATAAATGTATGAAAAACCCATAAGCCGCTGCGATTTTGTCATCATGACGCGACTAGTTTGCTAGTTTGCTCAAACTTTTCCAGCGACATGACAGAACCTATATAGTATTTGACGAACAAACATTGTAAAGAAGTGTTTGATGGCGTCTATATGAATTTTCCCAAACTTGCGTTGTCATTATTGTCATTTCTTGCGACCCCAGCCCTTTTATTCTAAGAACCAATGAGATTTTTTCAATTACCAAAAATCGACCAATCAACAGTCATTTCCAGTGACAATTCAATCCATGGAACCGAGGAAACCGTTCTGAATAATGTATCATTAGTTTTATCGCTAGCAGGCATAGTTTTGGGATTATACGCGAGAATCCAAAAGAAGTTCGAGAATCTTGTTATGTTTTGCGAATATCTCAAAACGCATCAAAACATTTTGTTGGATAATTACAGATTCGGATTCAGCCCCTCGAAAAACATAGGGTAGGACAATAAAATCAACTACTGAATTGTTTGCAAGGAAATGCCGTACTTTGATACCGTTTGCCTGGCTTTGATTATCATATTTTCTCATTGTTTAAGTTCACCTATCTAAGAAATCATGTGCCTTTAAACTTCTATTAATGCAAAATGAAAAAGGTCAAAATTTCGAAAAACCCTAAAACTCTCAAATTGGACATTAAAAGTTAACAAGTACTGAAGCACACAGTCACACAATCTTTACTACTTGAAGAATAACTTCACTCTGAGGATGGACCAAATTCGATTATTTTATCAAACAGGGTTTCGAATATTACGAAAAAACATCATCTCGATATCTTCTTCAGTCGGCTACAACCACCTCGGAGCCATTTCTGGGCCCAGGTTTATATGAAAAATGTTTACTATTTCTGTTCCTAGAATTCGTGGTAAAAATCTTTCTACGTAATTTCGGGAGACCCTGTATACTTGAGCGAGAAAGAGAGGTTTGTGACAAGCACATTTGAGACAGACAGTCCTGCTAAAGAAAGACACAACTGAGTCAGTCAAACAGACAGACAGATACACAAACAAACCTGAGACATGCAGAATGACCTCAGACAGACAGTTTATCTTGTGTATCTTGTGATAAACATGAAGACAGACATGCAGACAGACAGAAAGGCTTTGGACAGATATTCTCTAGCGAGAAGGAAAGAAGAAAGATGGAGCTGAGAGGTAGAAAGACATAATTGCGACAGATGACTATAGAAAGTCAGACATACAGACAAACTTGTGATATACAGACAAATTTGAGACAGGCAGATATAGACGAGAAGACCTGAGACAGACAGATAGACAAAAAACCCTGAGTAAGACAGATAGACAAAAAGGCCTGTTTCAGACAGATAGACGAAAATACCTGGGACAGGCAGATATAGTTACAGCGAGAATGATATATTTGTGATTGTGAAAAATAGAGCTGAGACACAGACAAACGTGAGACATACGAACCTGCGCCAGACAGTAATACCTGAAAAAGACAGAAAGACTTGAGACAGACAGGCAAACTTGAGACAGATGGGTATACACCTGGGACAGACAGAAAAACTATAGACACACGGAGAAAAAAACCACTTACCCTTGGTGAATATTTAATAGGTGGCAAGTAAAAACGTTTATACTATTTGGGCAAAGGAAACAAGTTGATAGCCACAAGAATATTTGTTTTTCTTGGAATGTACACCTACCACTGTTGACCTGCTTCATTGAATTTAAGATAGATTACCGTTAATGAACACAGCACTTGTTATTAGTGACTGATTCACTCGTCATTAGTGACTTATTCACTTGTCATTAATGCCTTATTCACTTATCATTGGTGACTTATTCATTTGCGATTAGTGACTTATTCACTTGTCATTAGTGGCTCATTTACCTGTCATTATCTTGGTACTATGAAGAATCACATATAATGAAGATGGTCTGTTATGAGACCGAAACATGTCCCTTATGATCGTGTAACAACATCACGATTAAAATGTGTGGAGATGACTTAGAACATGATTTTTTTGTGTCGAAACTATTCATCATTGGTCAAAACGGCTCACATGTCCCTATATTAACTTTTGATTGACTATCTACCGACATTTAATTGGAAAAAATACAGGATTGTCCAAGATTCAGAATTTTGATCACCCTGTATCTGTTCTAATTAAATGTCAGTAGATAGTGAATCAAAAGTTAAGATAGGGACATTTAAGCAGTTTTGATCGATAATGAATAGTTTCGACACAAAAAATTCCTGAAATTGAAAAATCTCGATTTTGAACACCCTATATCTCTGTAATAATTCCTGCTAGACCCCAAGTGTGTTACATTGATGAAATCAGCTCTTCGAGAAGAATCTAAAAACGCAATGTAATACAGGGTGTTCTATTTGAAATAACAAAGATGATGCTATTTTTTGGTAAAAGTGGCAACGCTGCATCGCTGAAAATATTTTGAATCGTTAGATCACAAACGCTTATGAGATTTTCAGGATAATCCAATGTACCGTTTTCCGTATACGTCTGAGGTACCATCGACCGTGAACCACCCTGTATATATACTTCACGAATGCTAACATTATAATGAAACCGCGAGGACAGTGGGAGTGGTCGCGTTGGGCATAGGCATCCGAATAATATATCGGAGATGTCCGAACGGAGAAAAGATGTATAACGACAGGTGAGATGGCACCTGCACCAATCGACTCGATAGATTGTCTTCATCGATGAGTTCGCTCAGAGCAAGTGATTCAGATGAATTATTTAATAATGGTGAATATTCATTAACCTAGCACTAGTTCAGTGTTCACTTATAATAAGCGACCTCAAAATACATATCGATTTGGTTAATACCAACAAGTATCCTGATCACTTAGAGCAGAAACATTGCTTCAGAAATATTGTGTTGCCTACTCCAAGTACCTTATTATATTTGGAAAAATGTTCATGTCACAAATCGACTTTTTCTCAAGAAAACTATTTACTTGGCCTAGTTTATTCCTCAGGGCATACATAGGTACTAAAACGAGACGAAAAAGTCTTTTGATATACAGACTTGCGACAGTAAGATTGAGGTGAGACAGACACACAGAATTACGATATATAGACAAACAAATAGACAGACCAAACAGAGATCACAGAGAAAGACATATAGACAGATAGACAGACATCCCTAACAACACGGGATCTTGCTGGTACATCCCGCTAAGGTCCTACAAATGTCCCGATGTTTCAGACTTAGGTACGATATCCCAGAGATGTTTCTCTCGGGACATCCATCAGATATTTTCATTAGATGTTCTAGAAACATCCCATTCGATCATTTTTTATGAACAATACCATGGTTCCATATTTGCTAATGATGATTGACATGATTGAACAGTTCAAACCTCGGTTCAAACAATTGTGACATTTGAAACATTGAGAAGTTGGTAAAAAATGGAAATCAAAACTGTATTCGTACTCATATACTTATACCTATACCAACGCCGGCTAATCTCATCGATCACAAATTGAAATAATTATAACTATAAATATGCCTCAATAAGATTACGAAAGTACCTGCTTAACTTCATGAACCATGTTATAAACGACAAAATTCTCTTCAGCATATTTATTGCTGAATTTATTTGTTATACCAGCCGATAGATGGCGGTACAACTACGTTGCTAAGAGTTACTAACAGCCGTCGGCCCAGCGTCAACAAATATGAGCCTCAAACGACTTTTATCATCTTCCATTAGTTATTAGACCGCACCGACCTTATATATTCGAACTCGGATTGTTACTTTATATCTGAAAACAGGTCGGCCATTTTCAGGATATCAGATTGAAAATAATGCATACCGTGTCATCCATTACTGTAATCAAACAAAAAACATCCTAAAAGTCTCTTTAAGATGTTCCATATCAAGTACCCTGAAAATGTCTCTGGTACATCCCGTATCATCCCACAAACATTCTGATGGGATGTTCATAAGACATCGCAAATGCTGACACGGGTGTTGCCAGCAACATCCCAAGAATGTCCCAAGGAAAATAGGGATTTTCCAGAGATGTTCCTATCATCCCAAATAAGAGACGAGCATAATAATAATCCTATAATAGTACGATTTCTTCTTTTAAGTTACAGAACCCTATAGAAAAATAAGCCGAATGACCTATAATAATAATCATCTACTACTGCTCCACACTCAGTGGGTACATCAATATGTCAAGCTCATCGGCTTCGACCCCTCAACATGTTAGTTTTTCCGGTGAAATTGGCCCTATTGTTTGGGAAAAGTTTTCTGACGCCACCCCCAACGCACCACCTTTCGGCGTTTCGGATCAAAGGGACGATAAAGGTGTTGTGTTACCATTGTTTACCTTTGCCTTTGTGCCCTTTTTATGGCCGAATTCATTACTTAATTTCTTGTCAATAAAAGGGATTCGGTGAAACGGGAGTTTTCTTTGGTGGCAAGCCAATTTATCATGCGGATTAAAATACACGATCGATGTGGCAATTACTTGATGATAAAGCATTGTCCGAGTGTCGAATAGTCGAGATTTTTTTTGTACTGGGTGTTTCGAACCAGATGCAGCAGATTTCGATCTAACGAAGTAGTAGTATACAGGGTGTCCTTTTAGTCCAAGAGCCGGCTGCACATTTCCACCGTCATCTGATAACGAAATGGTATACAGTCTGTCCAAGATAAGGTTGAACAGCATGGGGATCTCGGACACGGTAAGAGATACGACGTCGTTTAAATGAGCAAAAAGTTTCGAATTCGGATGCTCATATCAAGAGCCTTCGAAAATTTTCAAAATTATTTTCAGTTTTTGAGTTATATCGAAAAAAGTGAATTTTTGGAATATCTATTTTATTTTTTTTTTCTCCGTTATTATTAGAGATACAGCAGAACTGAGGATACTTTTTCATAGCAACTTTTGATGACGTTCAACGTGGTGATACCGATTTCTTCATGCGACGTTTCGTATTCGTAGAACCATCATCAACTTTTGTTTTTTGAATGCGGTCCTGATAATTTTTTCTCAGATTCTGAGAGGTTTTTTTATTTTGAATTCAACCTGGAATTCAACCATGTATTATAGAAGGTGATTTATGTGTGTTCGACCTACTTTTAGCCATCATCAATGTTTTTTCAAAATTCCAAAGGAAAAATGCCATCTGGTTTCAATCAACAACAAATTTCATTTTGCGGAAACAAAAATTCCATCCATACAAATTCAGAATATGTCAAGCGCTAAAACCAGGCGATGACGAAAGGCGCAGGACATTCTGTAAGTGATATACCAGAAAATGTCCAAATTTTGCAGATTTCCTCGAACAATCATCTGGACTGATGAAAGGATGGTCACTAATTATGGTATTTTCGATAGAGAAAATACACATTATTGTTCACGAGAAATTGAACATTAATACATTACAGCGAGAAACTAACACCGTTTTGGCTTTAATATGTGATGGGTTGCAATATTTGGTACACGAATTATTGGTCCTTCTACTTACTATGAATCACAGACTTCCGAACGTTATACAAATTTGCTTGAGAATCATCTTGAGGAAGCTCTGGATGATTTACCGATTGCGGAAGTTCAGAACTGTTGGATTCAACAAGGTGGGGCTCCGGTACATAATTCCAGAGAAGTACGTGCGTATTTATCCAGAAAAATGGATTGGTAATCATTCTACAGTCCCTTGGCCGGCGCGGTCGCCTGATTTGACACAGCTGGATTTTTTTTTAGGGGATATATCAAACTTTGTATACTCACTTTGATGATAAGAAGAACTAAGGAACAGGTCGAAACACATTCGAATCACCTTGTATGATACATGGTTGAATTCAGAATAAAAAAACCTTTCAGAATCTGTGAAAAAATTATCAGGAACGTATTAAAAAAACAAAAGTTGACGATGGTTCTACGGATACGAAACGTTGCATAAAAAAATCGGTATCACCACGTTAAACGTCATCAAAAGTTGCTTTGACAAATTATCTCCAGTTTTTTTGTATTTCTAATATTAACGGAGAAAAATAATAAAATAGATATTCCAAAAATTCACTTCTTTCGATATAACTCAAAAACTAAGAATAATTTTCAAAATTTTCGAAGGCTCCTGATATAAGCCTCCGAATGCGCAACTTTTTCCCCATTTAAACGACTTTGTATCTCCTACCGTTTCCG